AGAAAGAAGCTTAGAGCTAAAAGGAAGACGATCCAGTACTGAGTGACAGAATGACAAACTTCCAATCACTTGTAGTATTCTCAATTGTCAAAGGGTTTCTATCAATGTGAAAGGGTAGTATGCTCAGTTTTAGCCCCAAGGTACATGTCTTTCTCAGATTCTCACAGACATAAATTACACAAGAATAAAAATTAATTTCCTGAACCTATTTTCGCTCAGGAATGCGTAGAGCACATTGCAAGTTATAAACGGACTACATCAGAATGTTTTCTTTAAGCTGGAGGTAAATGGGTGCCGGTTGTGGTTAAAATGAGTTTCCTCTAAAGACCCATTATTTATAACAGTAGTTACTTCCATTAAAGTTGAACTCCAGGCAAACAGTTAAATACACAGATGAAATACATATACATTCACCAAGCAATTAGGAACACCATACTAATACCAGTGGTGATTCAGGTCAAATAAATACATTCTAGGTGCATTAAAACAAAATATGTTTAACCCCTTTAGAAGGGGTTAAAGTCTTGTGGTTCATTTTCTTTAGAAAGTAGCCACAGTCTGAGTAGAAAAGCCTGTCTCTTGCCAGCACCTGCAAAGTAGAACACTTGCTCTCTCTGGGAAAGCAGTTGTCAGTTGTTCCATATACTGTATATTCACCTCCTCATGTATCACTTGCCCCCTCCTTTTAGATTGTAAGCCCTAAGGGGCAGGGCCCTCCTTACCATCTTGAATTGTATTGTGATTGTAATGTCTTCCTTATATTGTAAAGCGCTGCGCAAAGTTTGGGTGCTATATAAATCCTGTACAATAATAATACTCTCTAGCGATGCTGTTTTTCCTCCTCCTATCCCTGATCCATGTCTTGACAAAAACAAAAACAAAGGGGACAAGGATGACAATGTTCACATATTGTGTCTTACCCTCCTGCACAATAGCCAAGTTTTAACTAGAAACATGTTTGTTTAAAGACATCAGTCAAATAACTGTTGATATGGGTCAGTGACATCAGTTAAAGCGGAACTAAAGTAAAATATAAGGAGAAATTATGAGCAGACGGGCTCTTTATTGCTGGAGAGATATTCTATGTCTCTTTTGCAATAAAACAAACTTACCTGCATGTTTACAATTTCTTCAGAATGCACATTGAGCTGTTCATGCATAGCTCTGTGTACATTCCCAGCAAACCTTGGTGTTGGAATAAATGAAATTCCATGTGCAGGAGTTATGTCATTACCCTGCTGTCCAATCAGGCGAACTAAAGACCCGGCACCTGAAAGGAGCCAGGGAGACGATGTCTGCACCGGTGAGGGGGCTCACGGACATTACATTGGTGGAGCTTAGGTGACTATCTGCGGACTTTAGTTCCAATATAAGTTGCTGTGTACTGGGAGCATGTGCAGCAATACTGAGAGTGCCCGTAACCTTCTAGAAAACCAACTTTATCTAGAAGTGTTTTAACAACATTTACAAGACAGCAATGCCTCTCTTCCCACTTCCAGTCCTTTGGATCATTAGTTTTAGTTGTGGATTTTTGGAGGCACAGATTTTGGCAGAAGTTTTCAACACACAAAGCTTTCCATACTGTATCAGTGTTGTTATTGTTGGAAAACAGCAGCATATGGTGATATATACTCATAGTATTGCTGACATTCTAATGTTCTGATGTGTCTTTTGAGTTGTAGATGGCGCTGTAGTGCAGTGTTAGTTTTCTATATGCATTCTTATCTATGATATACAGAAAGTTCTCTCTGTATGCTTTATAATGCTGTATTTTGATATAACTTTTTTTCTAAGCAAGTAAAACTTAATTTAGCATTCCTTCTCAGTGCTTCATCTAAACACATAACCAACAGGTTTATTGGGGTGACAGTATGTTTTTTCATCATGATAGGTCCAGGGTTAGTTTATGTGTAGAATTAGGTATGTTCAGGTTAGGGTATGGGTTATATTTAGGGGCAGCTTTGAGTTAATATTTTAGGGGTTAGGTTTAAGATGGGCAAACATGTTACAAACTGATTGTACAATCTCCTTTAACCACTTGCTGACCAGGTGTTCACACCCCCTTCCTGGCCATTTTTTTGTATTCAGCGCTGCAGTACTTTGACTGACGTTTATTCCGTCATGCAATGCTGTATTGAAATGAATTTTATACCATTTTTTGGGGACAGTTCAACACTTTTGGTGGTATTTAATCAGCACTGGGGTTTTTATTTTTTACTTTATTAAGGAAAAATTACTGACATTTTTATTTTTTATTTATTTTTACATTATGTTATAATACTTTTATTATTACCCAATTTTTGGGTAAAATATAAAAGACGTCGTCATGTCGGGTAAATAGACACCAAACATGTCAAGCCTTAAAATTGCGCGCACCCGCGAAATGGTAGAATCTTACTTTTCAAAGAAAACCCAATCATGTTAAAGGAAAATAAAAATAAACAGTATTTTGGCTTACACATGATTGGGCGATATAAATCAGCAGAGCTTTACCTCATTCACTACACTAAGGGGAACTTCACCTGCAAAGTGCAAATTCTCTTGCAAAGGGAACAGCCCACAGTATTTGTCTTTAGTAAATCAACCCTAAAGTTTCAGTTTCCACAAATAAGGACCATTGCCTGAGTGGGAGATGTATAATAAGAAAAAACGTACCTAATAGAAAAAAAAGACACAAAAGTAAACAGAAGCCTAGAAACAAATAACTTTTTCTGTTTCAAAGCAATATTTAGTATAATTAAAATAACAAAATAAAATGCAAATAAAGGTAAACATAAATGAAATATACAGCATTGTACCTATTCAATGAAAAAAAGATACAGAGCAGTGGTTGAGCAAATCCAATTAGCTGAAGGTTGATATGTAATTGCTTGCCAAAGATTACCTCATCCTATATAATTTTGCATTATATTATTTAGTTTTTTTCACAAGTCTGTTGCACATAGTATGCTTTTCTGTAGCTAAAATTAGCTAAAAGTTTCTGCACTTACAATATGCTAAAGCTTAAATCAGATGATAAAAAATGGCAAAAGAAAAAAAAGGAATTATAATAGAGGCATATGACTTATGTTTACAAAATTCGTCATTCGTCTATTACCAGCTAGCTGTAGGAAGAATTACAATGCTATTTGTGAAGTTTTCTCACCTAGTTTTTTTTTTAAACTTTTTTTAAGTTAAATATTTTATATAAGTGCTGTTTTGCAAAAGAAGTATCTACACAAATCTTTGCAAAGATTAGCAGAGTGTTGCATAGTTTTAGACATCAAGCTATACGGAAAGTTATACCATTTATACATGGTACATTCTGCTGCTGATCCCCCCAATGTGATATACTGCTGTAGTGTGTGGGGGCTTTCTTTGGGGATTGCAAAGGTTGGCAAGATTGTTCAGTTATCTGTATCTGTATCAGTTATCTGTTTTTAAGTTTATAAAGCTATTGTTGTATGCCTTCTGTTCCACTTAAAAAACAGCAAAACTGGTGCTGCTGGATCAGCCTGCCACTTTAGTAGAGTGCACAGTACGAATAATATGGTACTGATGGAGAATTTTAGATCACAAAAGAGATCTGGGAACATAAACCCTTTAATCCCATGTCTGTGAAAAACCTAAATCTCTCCAACCCCTCCCTTCTGCCCCCTCTAACACATTTAGCACCTCATGGGATGTTTAATATTCACCTAACTTTACCATCCGGGTCACTCGCCAGCAGTGTTTTGAGGTGCGTGGGACTGGTAATTCAGCATTGCAGATATACTGTGGAAGCCATTCATCACCAGTCCCCTTGCACTGACATAATAATTTCAGTCTATCTTCTGGATCCTGAGAGGACCCAACCAATGGACAGTGTCCAAGTCAGGTGGTGATGTGGACACCTAAAGAAGGATGGAAAAAAACCCCCAAAAAACAGAGAGGACTCTGTATTGGAATGTCACGTGATCACGGATTTTGGTGTGTAAAGGGGCATTTAGATAAGTTGTTTTAGGTTTTATACCAGTAATTACTTAGAGAGGGGGAAAGGGGGGGGGGGGGCAGCCCAGAGTTCAGCTTTAATAAATAAAAAAAACTCTGGACTGTGTGTTATTAAGATGAAAATAAAAGATTTAAGAAAGGAAAAGTCTGGCCTAAATAGACAGAAACCTTGTGATTTTCAGATACAGTCTTGCAGAATGCCTAAAAAGAAACCAAACTTGTTTTGCCTCTTTAAAAAGTTAGGTTAGCCAATAAAGTATATCACTTTAGGATTTTCACTCTAAACATTCTTCCTAAATCTCCCAAAGTACATTGCATGTGCAATAAGGTTACCTTGTAACCGTGCCGAAGTTGAAATATTCACTCACTGTTTAGATGAAGACCCGCTTCATCTGAAACGTTTTTTCCAAATTCTGGTACGTGGCTAGAGACTCCAGCCATCAAAATTCCTCCCATAAGATAAAACAAAGGTGCCACTCTTTAAGTGTAATTCCCTTTTTTTGTTGCTGAACTTATATTATAAAAACATAATTGGGGAGTATGATGTCATCTTAGCTTTAAAGCAGACAAGCCTATTGGTTGGAGTTTGAATTCGGGTGGGAAGATTTTGTCATTAAAAGCCATGAATGATAAACAAAGGCAGCATATGATTCAACCTAAAATCTAACAAATAGAACTGAAACAAGAGTTTTGTGTGAAGTTCACCTTCAGTTTCAGTTTTAGATCTTTAGGAGGACCTTTGCATGGGTCTGCAGCCTCTTGCCTTTCAATCTGAGCAACCTTTGTGTTCCTTGGGGACTTCAGTGAGGAAAAATGAAGAACGTCTGTACTTTTCTTCTCGATATGTGCCTCCATAATTTTCCAAATGGCTAAATTAGAAACTTTAGATTTAGCATCTGGGGTGTTTGCAGGCCTGGGAATATGGAGTTCCAGGACATCAGATTACAAGCAATCACAAGGATCTGCAGACTTGGGTGTCCTGGAATCAATACTGGAATAAAAGGCAAAAGTGTTATGCCCCTTTAAATTTGCCCCTGTGTTTATTTAAAAGATACATTTTTCTGATTTTGGGTATACATTAAAAATTTAGCCTGCTATATATTTCCCTCATATAACAAGATGTTTGGATTGAAAATGGCAGTTAGGGGGAGAGATATTGGAAAAATAGAGAGGAAGAATTATTATCATAAAGGCTTCACTTAGTAATCTGATTTACTACTGTGCACACTCCAGGAACTGCTACTATTCCGAGATTGGGATGGCCTTCGCACTTCTGTTGAGAAGAAAGGAAAACATTATGTTACTGTTCTAAGGAAAGAAACGAATTAATTCTTACATTTAAATCAACGCAAAAAAAACAAAGCTGTTGATGTGTACTTAAGATAGAAGATGGCAAAACAAATTCTAGGCTGATCTGCAGAGGGTATAGAAGAGGAAACTGTCTTCAGGATGTTAGGTTTCCCCAGAATTACTAGTGCTCCACATTTACTAATTGTGTGCCCAATAAGAGAACTACCAAATAAGAGTAAAGAGAACTACCTGGTACTTCTGAGTATGGAGGAGCATGAGACTCACTCTCTTTCTTCTAATGTGACAACGCTTATGTCTGATGATTGGTCCAGGTCTGTCACATAGGGGTGGGAAGAGAGCCCTTAGTCATATGTAAGCTCCTGCTAGAGCAAATCATAGCTTATGCAGGCCTTCCTTCCCTTGCTCCCAGAAGTTGGAGAGCAAAGGATAGATCAATACTGTATATGCTGCTGGGGAGTGGGACGTTAAAGTGAACCTGTTGCTGTGCTCTGCATGGACAAAGCACAGGTTTTCATTAAAGCCACGTTTCGAGTGGCTTAAAATCTACTCTGTCACCATTTTAAATAAACTAATAAAATACCCTGCAAAAGGAGACTTTATACCCACCCATCTCAACACCCAGTACTAGAATCTTAGCTCTCTGCAGAGCAAAGCCACCAACAGAATCCTCACATCTGGCACACTTCCAGGTGTTTTGAATACCTGAGTAACCATGACACACTGTGATTACATCTACCAATCTCTACAGCACTAAAAGATGTAGCGATGTACATAGGGGCTGATAGATGGAACCACAGCACCTGGAAGGGATTCAGGCATTTCACATATCCTGAAGTGTGTCAGCTGTAAAATTTCTGTTGACAGATTTTCTGTGCAAGAGAAGGAGCATGCCACAAACTTAAATATAAAAAGTCTTCTTTTGCAGGGATCTTTAATTTAATTTTTTAATTAAGAAGGCCTAGAGTCACTTTAGAGCAAACTTTACGGTCCTTCATAATAAACCTCACAATTATGCAAAGCACACCGGTGGGGGAGTGCTGATAGAGTTAAAGTGGATCTAAAGTCTACTGTACTCACCTCCCCTCCAGCAATGTTATCTACTAGCTCCCTTCCCGCCACTAACATCATTGCATGGTTTTCTTCTGGATTTGGTATCTGCAGCCACCATAGCTGGTTGGCCTGGCATAATGTAACCTCCATGCATTGCCAGCACATTGTATATTCTAAAGAAGTCTGCAAGCAGTAAAGTAAGAAGCTTTTAATGCAGAAGAGGCATAGTATGTCTATTCTGCAATAAAAAGCCTTCCTGCTTGCAATTTTTTTAAAGGTAAAATTACACTTGAATTGTTTTGCGAGATAGGATAGAAAGAAAGATAGAAAGATGCTGCTGTGTACAGTGATGCTGAATTGTGTTCTCCTACATTTAGTCATGTAATTTACTATCTATGCTCTGAGTGCATGTGACTTGGCAGGAATTTACAGATGTCCCATCTGATAATATACCTAGTAAAGAAATGTTCACTTAGTAAAGAAACTTACCAGTTTCACAATGGACATTTACGACAGTAGGAGAATTCAGCCTAAAAAAAAGGAGGGAAGACTTCACTGATTGAAAAGACTTCACAGATTGAAAAAAACAAAACAGATCTTGGATGCTATAGCACTATGGGCCCTGCGTATTATAAATATCTGGAAAGTATCTGTGTTAACCCAGCCTGTAGGAGCCAGTCAGATTTCAGTAGATTTGAGCAGATTCCTCCTTCTATTTTCTAACCTGGTGCAAGTGAGAAAATAGAAGGAAGAGTCACACTCAATGCCATGGTCACACAGACTATCCTTTGTGCTATAACTACTGTATATTATAAACTGCAAATTAAAGTTTAGTTTGTGGCAATAAATGGCAATAAATGTATGGCAATAAATCCATAAAATATCATTTACTTTACAACCTAATTTAAATTGTACTTGTACCCTAACCAAGCTAACCTTAGTAAACTGGCACCTACAAATTTCCAGAACCTTTTGAAAGCCTCAAAATGGGTTGAATCTGTGTTGTGGGCAAAGCCTGGGACTTTGGTGGAGATATATGACCATTGCAATATCAACAAGAACATCCTCTCATAAGTGAAATATGTTAAAGGAGAACTATGGGGTCAGGGCTTTTCCCCATAGTTCTCCTAAGGGTAACGGGAGGACACAAACTAGCGTTCTCCCGTCACCCAAAACTCAGTATACAGCGAGCTACAGCGAGCGGTATACTGAGACGCCGCAGCCGGAACGGATCCCGACAATTATGTCTGGATCCGCCCAGCTGCGTGAGTGACAGCTGGCACTGCCTATCTAGAGGCAGAGCCAGCTGTACCCGCCAACTCCACCCGTCCGTTCCGTCAGTCAGCGCTGGAGGATCGGAGCGGGGAGGGGGGAATCCAGTCCCTCCACTGTCACGGCTCTCTGCCGTCACAGGATCGAGAAGTGAGCGAGCGCCGGTATGTGTTCGCTCACTTCCCGATCTACTGAGCCGACCTGTGACAGTTTAATTGTCACAGGTCGGCTCAGATTATGAGGCTGAGTGAATATCACTCACCTCATAATTCTCCTTTAAGTAAAAAACGTTAATTAAAACTAAAAACCGCGATTTTTGCTATATATACTCTTCTTGCCACATATGCTGTAGTTCATATCATCCTAATTAAAATAATGTAATGCATTTTTCAAGACCGCTCCAGCTCAGGACTGGGGAAAGTACTTTTTTTGGGAGATACATATCTAGTTATCTTACCTGATCTCTTCTCCCTCCAGCAATTTCTTATAGGTAACAATCTCAATATCCAGAGCCAGTTTGACATTCATTAGGTCCTGGTACTCCCTAATTAGGCGGGCAACATCTTGTTTGGCTTTCTGTAGGGCTTCCTGTACTTCGGCAAGCTTTGCATTGGCATCTTTAAGAGCGGCACTACTTTTCATCTTGGCCACAGACACCTTCTGCTCCAAATTCATACACTAGTGCCAAACAAAAGAAAAATGAAAAACCATATTTCAGCTATTGCAAAATGGCTGCAAACATGTCATGACATGCAGTATGCATTTTACAAAAACAGTTACGGAAGCTATGTGAAATTTTTTGTTTGTCTGCAGGACATGGGAAGAGTAGTATTTCTTAACCCTAGTCTGTAAGTACCCACAAAAATTGTGTATCCAGTGAAACTGAAGAAAAGAAATGTACACCAAATTGTACCTGTTGCCAATGGGGAACAATTCTAGTTATGTCTGAATGAAGAAGAAAAACCTAAAACTCTGACTTGGAGGTGGAACTAGAGGAATGGATATGTCCTTCTTACTTCTTATTTTGGTAGGAATGTTAAACTCAAACACAGGTCTGTTAAAAATACAGATCTGCTGAATTGCTTTAACTAATTTGCCAGCTGCCCGAAAAACTTATTTCAGAGAATATTGGTTAAGTCACCCAAATAACGATGCACAGATGTTTGTAAGCAGTTGAAGTGTGAACATGTGCTAAAATTGTGGGATCCAAAAAACCTCTAAAATGGATAAAAATGTTAAGCTAGAAGCACGCTAAATTTGAATCTGCACTCAATAGTGGCATATTATTTGGAAATGCTCCAACATGTCCCATTCCTACAGCCAAAAACACTTTGTTCTTTATCACCTCACTACCCTTCTGATGACAATCTTCTAACATCTAAGTGGGGCTGCAGTCAAACCTCTTTTATTTATAAATCCTCTGTTTTAATCAGTTTCTTATTGGAACTAACTAGTAGAGATGAGATGAACGTAGCTAAGAAAGATATACTCACCTAAATCTCGGACCAAGCCCTGCAGCCTCGTCCCCCCTTCACTCCAGTGGTCTAAGATCCTGTGAGTCATCACATCCAATACAGTGTATTGGACATGAGGTTGCAGGGACTCTGTCTAGCAGCCAGCCAGGTCCATCATTCGAGTGATTATATCTTTGTTATTTTAGCACTTAACCCTTACAGTGCAGGAATAGCCTCATTGCATTGGTTAAAGGGGTTCTAAAGCCTCCCGTTTTTTTGGCTATATCTACTGCTAATAAGCAGTAGATATAGGCACAAATTATTTTAAAAAACGCTTAAACAGCGGTTTAGACTGACCTTATTATCGCTGCGCGCTCCTGCGGCAAGAGTCCGAACTGTTCGTGCGGCCGCAAAGGATCTTGGGGCGGGCGCATGCGCAGTTAGGATTCTCGGCCGGGAGACGAGCAGAGACGCAAGGTAAGCCTATGGACGCGTGCACCCGCATGCAGACACCGTTGGATCGGTAGTGCCTGTAAGCAGAGAGGAGTCAGCGCTGGATCAGAGAGCCGCCGCACCGCTGGAGGGACAGATGAAAACATGGGGAAAGAAGAGGAAGATCGGATTAAGAGACATCATTTAAGGTAAGTGCTGACATTAACATAGGGGGAACAAAATTATCCTTTAATGTCACTTTAAGATCTCATATCTCATTATTTAAAATAATGTTTGTGTCAGCAACATACCTGTTCCACGCATACGCCAAGTCCCGCTGGGCGGACGCCACACGCATGGCAATAGCACGTTTTAAAACGCACCAAAGTGCGCACCGGAAGTGACACGCGTACGGCGCGACTCTCAAGAGAAACGCGCCAAATGGCGCACAGGAAGTGACGTGGGTGATTGGCTCACTTCCCTATTTAAACCCGGCTTGCATGTTCATTAGTTGCTGGATTGTCTTTTCAGCTCACTATTGTGCTTTGGATTCCTGTTTTTGCCTTGACATGTCTACTACCGTTTTGTCTGGATTTTGACTTATATTTGCTCGACAACCTTCCCTGATTGCTGGCTGCCTTTTTGACCTAGGACTGTTTATTGGAACCTGCCTCTGCCTAATTCTTCGGTACTGCATCTGCTCTCCTGGTTTTGACCTCAGCTTGCCTTGACCTTGATTTCTGGATTACCCTTCTGCTTGCACGGTTTCACAACCATTGGCACTCGTGCCACTCGGTGTCTGGCTGGCCTCTGTCACCAACCTCAAAGGCCACAAGACACGAGGTGCAAGAGAAGCTTCCTCACCAACCCAGTCTCCCTACCAGGTACGTGATAGTTTGGCAGGAAGCTGCTCTTTATATAATGCTTATAACGGGAAACGGGCAATATTAAAAATGCAAATTTCCTTCAAATAACATGCTTGGGAGATGCCCTTAACCTGCCTGTGAAGTAGCACACCTATGTGATGTACCTGAGCAAAAGCGACGCTTACAAAGAAAACAAAATACCATTTGCCCTAAGGGCTTGATCACACCACAGCCAGTGTGTTGCAGCACAGTTAGTGGCTGGAACGCACTGGATCACATAATTAAGCCTCCCTGCGTTCTAGGGCAGGAGAGGGCGTAGTGCTGCCATTCAAGTCAATGGCACTGCAGCCACACCTCTCACCCGCAGTGCGATCACCCACATCAGAACGGCGTACAGTGCAATAGCAAAAAATAATGCATACAAGATGCAAGACATACCCACAATGGCACAGCAATGCCCGCGGTGTGATCGCAAAAAATAGCGCCTGTATTGCGGGCATTGCTTTGCCATGTGTTCCGGTGCGGGCGATCGCACTGCGGGCAGGAGGCATGGCTGTGGTGCCATTGACTTGAATGGCACAACCATGGCCCCTCCTGCCCCATTACACAGGGAGGCTTAATTATGTAATCCAGTGCATTCCAGCCACTAACCATCCTGGAACGCACTGTAGTTGTAGTGTGAACAAGCTCTAAATCACTTCTCTTGGCAAGTTTCTGCTGTTTATAAACCAAGTCACTTTTATGGCTAATGGGCAAGCTATTGTCAAAAAAGGGCATGAACAGCTTTGCACTGCCCTAGGGCACATGAACCAATGCAAAAATACATTTAAAAAACCCAAAAAACAGTTTGTACAATTCCTTTAAAACACTTGTTCTCAACCTGTGTAACCTCAGGACCCACATTTGTCCTTGGTCATCAAGTCGCGACCTAAGTCACACTGCAATGGAATGCATGGCATTGCTATACCGGGCGTTCGGGTGTAGGCGATCGGACTGTGAGTGGGAGGTGCGTTTGGGGTGTCATTCAAATGAATGGCAACGCAACACAGTTCCTTCCTTCTACACCAGAACACGCAGTAGGTGTGATTACATGGTACAGTGCATTAATCGCATGGGACTGTGTGATTAACGCACTGTACTAGTGTGAATGGACCCTCAAAAACACTGACAGGCATACACAACCACAGACACCTTCTCATACACACATACACACACTTTTTTTTTTAAGATCCACCCAGTATCCCTACCTTATGAGAACTGGAGTGGATCCTCAGCTTGGGGTCAAGTGTGGGCTGCTGTGCTGTCATGGAGCTCCGTCTATATGTGCATTGTTTATACAGTTCCCTTGTGCGCCCTGTAGAGGTGCCGGGAGACAGAATGTGATGTCAGTCTGGTCCATGCACCTCTAAAGGACACGAGAGGGAGCAGTAAGCAATGCACGTATGGATTAAGCTCCCTACCAGCCATACTTCCAGCCCACCTCAAGCTGACACGCAGGGCTGGGCAGCATATTATGAATGGCTGTTCGGCACGAGAACTGATAGTGCTGCGCTAGGGGGAGGGGGAGGAGTCTCTCACCTAAAAAAGTGGAAGGCGTGTGGCGACTCCCAGTGAACATGGGTCAATAATAGAAGTCACCAGCACACATGTGACTGGTGACTTCTATTATGGACTGTATCTGACATGGCGCCATCCATGTTGTCAGTTCAAGCACTAACCTTTCAACAAGGTCTGTACTCTGTATGGAGTGCATGTGATTTCGTATTATCCCACCAGTTGAGAACCAAAGTTTTAGAGGAATATTAAGTAAACCATAAACAAATACAATCTTAACAGTAGCAAACACTTTTTATGGGGCTACAGTAACAGTCTTTTATTTTTGGGGTGGGGGCAGTTTGGCGACCATTTAAACCTTATGATAAAAGCTTTAAGTGGTTTGTCCCAACCCCCTAACTTTTACTTTTGCTGGACAGCTTGGTCTGTCTATTTTACAAGTGGCAAAATAACTGCTGTGTTAACGTTAGTGGCAGGCATCATCAAATAAATATTTTTTTTTTTTTTTCACGATAGTTACGCTCTTTTCAGGATAGGTTAAGTTCACTTCATTGGTGTTTCATTTTTAAATTAACTGTTGCTATCAGTTTAATTCAAGTACATTTAACTGTAAGAATGTATGCAGATACTTTGTGCCAGCTTGCAGCTGTCATTTTCACCTAGATGTGAATGTTTTAGACAGTCTGTGCTTGGAATTTGTTTTAAGACATCACTATAATTGAATCTTTTGGACAAGACATTTTTAAACAGACGTGTTAAAAAGGAGTTATATGTAACAGTTCCTCAGGCGATCTAATTTACAATGTTTTTTTATGGCGGTGAGTGACATTATAATTATGTTGCGGTCCTTCCGCTGCCTTTATGATGGTTGTTAAAAAATCAACAATTGAAGTGCACATTAGAAAAAGATTATTACTGTGAACTCATGGGCAGAACTAAAGCTCTCTACTAAATCACAGCTTAGTATTTGCACACTTAGCTTCATGCTTTAGTTACAAATGAAAAGAAAAAGGAAAAAAACAAAAAAACAAGAAAAACCTTTGGATAGTTATTAGGTATGCAGTTGCAGGCAGCACACACTACCTATGTAATCTTCCTTTAGAGAAGCTTATCTTCAAGACAGGAGTTTGAAGCTTGTACATTGTGGCTTCCAAGGTGCAAAGGGAATAGATGGAGGTGTAAGGTGCTTCCCAAAAAATGAATGCAATTGCTTTTTCATTGACATACTATTCTAAATTTAGAATTCTTTATAATGAATATTATGATTTAAAATTATTAATGTGTTAGCTCATACAAAGTGAAATTCTAGGCTGGATTCCTACAGCACGTGTTGCATTTAGTGCATATTGATGCAAGTTAAATGCAGTTGAGTAAACGTGCATTGACATGCATTTTTTTTACACATTGTGTTGGGTTGATGGGATACTTTTTTCCACAGCAAAAGTAAAAACTTTATTTCCCTTAACCCCTTCATGACTGAGGCCCTTTTTTCAATTTTTGCACCCATGTTATATTCCACATTTTAGACCTGAAAATGACGTAAAACCCCCCAACATTATATATTTTCTGAATGCCAAGACCCTATAGAATAAAATGGTGGTAGTTGAAAATTTTTATGTTGCGCAATATTAGCGCAACTCCTTATTAAACCCCAAAATTTAGTGACAAATTTAATTAAATGCCCCAAAACACAACAAATTACCCATTTTTTAAATGAAATATAAAAGATGAGGTTACAACGAGTAAAACGATACCCAACATGCCCAGTTTACAGATTGCGTGCGACCGTGAAACGGCGAAAAACTGCAGTACCCCAAAAAGTCAATAAAAGACACTTTAAAAGCCCCCACAGGTCATCAATTTAGAAATACCCCAAAATACTGGCCCTAGGATTATTGCTCTCACTCCGGCGTGCGCGGCGATACCCAACATGTGTAGCGCGTTCGTCGTTTTCATGCGTAGGCGCACCCGACGCGTGTTTACGTGGCGACGCGCGTGCTCGCGGGGGCGGGGGACTTTTAAATTTTTTTTTATTATTATTAGATTTATTTTATTTCATTTTAATTTTAAAAACTGGTTTTTTTTTTTTTTTTACTTTACTTTGACTGCTATCACATGGGGGGGCTTGCAAGCCCCCCCATGTAATAGCAGATGGTGGTGACAGGTCCTCTTTAAGGTGATGCTGGGGGTCCAAAAGACCCTCAGTGTCACCTTTACACTGGAAATAAGCTATTGAAGTGCAGATCGCACTTCAATAGCTTATAGCTGGGCTGCAGGAGCCCAGAACTGACAGCCCAGGGACCGGAAGTGATGCAATCTGCATCGCTCCCGGTCCCATAGAACGGGGAGGGGATCGATGAACGGAAGTTCGTCGACCTCCTCCCCAGCTCCCCGCGGACACAAAGATCGCCGGTCCCGGGCCCGTAGGAGGGGCAACGGAGCCCGGGAAGCACGGCGGGGGTGTCCGGGGGGGGGGGGGCGGCCCCTTCTTCGGGACGCAGAAGCGATCTGGCGACAGGTAAGTCGCCAGGATCGCTTCTGTTGTAAAGCCGACAGTCGGCTCTACAAGTTTAAACAGAGTCCCGGCGGCAAAAGTCGCCGGGAGTCTGTTTAAACAGCCCCGATGCTGGCGACGTACACTGTACGTCGTCAGTCACGAAGGGGTTAATGCAAGCTGCAGTGTGCAGTGACACATTGAGGTTTATTTACAAAAGAGCCGAAGGATCCAGCCATAGCTTCGGCTGATCCTTCAGCTCACTTCACAATAGCCCGTACAGCAGCCGAAGGCTGTCGAACGGCTCAGCCGAGCTGTGTGCATATGCTTCGGCTCCACTGAGCAGTAGTCTTAGCCGAAGGGGGAGAACGGTCTGCAAAGCAGACTGTATTTCACGCAAGTCACAATATAGCTGGGCAGAGATTTCACAGCTGGCTCCGCCCAGTTGTGGTACTCTAATGACAGACCAGTGTTCTCAAATGACCTGGGGACGCGGGTCTGTCATTAAATAACAACAACTGGACAAAACCAGCTATGATGTCATGGCTGGCTCCGCCCAGCTGTTGTCATGTAATGACAGACCAGCGTCCTCAGGTTATTTGAGGAGACTGGGCTGTCATCTTTACATTTTTTAAAATTATTTTGATAACATTTTTATTTTTTTTTATTTTTTTTACATTTATTTAAATTATTAAAACATTTTTTTTTGTTTACACTTTTTTTTATTCTGCTCACTAACTCCGGGGTAGCGAACAGAATAGCCGAGCCAAATGGCGCTCGGTGGCATTTGGCTATTTACTCACTGCCATTCGGCCCCTATGAAAATAGTTGTGAACAGCAGAAAGTGAACTGACGCAGTTTCGGCTGCACAGATCCAGATGTTGGATCGGCTAAGTCGAACCATGTGGAGCATGTTCGGCTGACCGGAGGCAGCGGCTGATTTTAGCCGATGTACGGCTGAAATCAGCCGTACAGAGCTTAAGTGAAAAGCTGAACGCTGTTCGGCTCAGTTCACTTCGGCTCATTTATTCACTCGGCTCCCTTTGGCAGCTTTGTGAATAACTCTTATTGCGATGTGTTGCAACACATTGTACTGTGTTTAAAAGAAACATGTTCCATTTTCACCCAGTGCACGTTGGTGTGAACTGGGCCTATTGAAAAAAATGGTTTTCAGCTTATCATTGCATTGTGCCTGCATTAAGCAATTCATCCTAATAGACATGATATGAATGAGCCTCATGGCTGAGTCAGCCCCTGGCTTCATTTATGTCTATGATACTTTGCCAGTAAGATGTCTTTGCCAATTCCAGACTCTTTCTCATTTAATTTTCAATAATATATTTTAATATTGACCTTAGTAGGTGAGCAAATTCAGGAAATCGATTTCAGATATCTCATATAGCTTGTTTTATTTAAAACATATTTTTCAGATGGAGTGCAGAAGAGTTAGAATCCTTTTTAAGGTGTAAACTGATTGCTGTGGGATATTCACCCACTCTTGGAAATTCATACTTCATGTTCATGTTACAGCTGTCACCGAAAACAGAACAGAAATGGAAGTGGTCTATCAATGGGCACAACTAGACATTGGCGCCAGCAAAAAAAAAATTGTTTTGTTTTCATTCGGATTTTTCGTTATTTCGTTTTTTGGGATTTGGGTCCGAAAGTCAATTCGTTTTGGGATTCGTCCAAAACTCGAATTTTCATTAATTTCGTTAGTGGTAGTATGTACAAATTCGTTACGAACCAACATTCATTGCAGCGAAGAATTACTTTTTTTTTTTTTACAGTCTGCAGAAGGGGAAAAAAAAGCGTGAGGTTCCACCCCATTTAAACCAGACCCTTTAGGTCTGGCAGGAATGTTAGGAGGGACCCCCCACATTAATAATTAAAAAAAAGGGCTTCGGGTTCCCCTCAAAAGTCATACAAGGCCCTTTAGGTCTGGTAGGAATTGTAAGGGGGAATCCCACCACCCAAAAATGGGAGGGAACAAATGTGGGGTCCCACCTAAAATTCCTACCAGACCCTTGCAGGGCAGGAAAGGTGGGGGGGCAATCGAGCGCCCCCCTCTCCCTGCGCCATACCAGGCCACGTGCCTTAGGCAATGGGAGGGTGTCCCTTTGCCGATGGGGACAAGGGCCTCTTCCCCAAAACCCTGGCCCAGTGGTTGTGGGGGTCTGCGGTCACAGGGGCATATTTGCATCAGGGTACCCCTTTAAATAAGGGGGCACCCATATGCCGCCCCCCCTTTTGAATGAGTAAGGGGTACTTGTACCCCTACTCACTCACTAAAGGGTTAAATGTAAATGTGAATAAACACAACCATCGATGTAATCCAGCGTCAATCACGATGAACGACACCCACCGTCCCGCCGAAATAAAAAAAAGTCCCGCCGCACGGCGACCTGTCCAAACCCAACAAAGACTCACCGCAAAATGACAGCTCCGGCCCGAATGTAAACAAATGGGCGAAGCGAGCTGTGTCATCACAGGCCTTGTTTCGCCCATATGACATTCTGAGCTGTCATATAACACAATAGCTTTTAGGAGCTCCCGAATGCCATTCGCGTCTGGGAGCCGAGGTGTCATAATACTATTCATTAGTTAGTAGTTAGTTCACTTTCTTTTAAAGTGCACATATCTTTTAAATTGTGGGGTTATTTAATATCTGCCTAATTCTGCTATCAAACCTGCTACAATCTTGGCTTTCTAGACTCCAACGTACAGTATGTTTCCCTGACACCAAGTTGGAGTCCTTATTATAGGCTATGAGCGGTGCACATGTACAATTTCTATAATAGATTTCAATCAATGCCAGCATGGCTTTATCATTATTCATTAAGACTTATCACATCTACATTATACTCTATACATGACTCTAAACCCTTGGTTCTCAACTGGTGGGTCATTTGAATGGTACCCCAAACGCACCTCCCACCCACAGTTCGTATGCCTGCAATGGAACGGTACTCGGTACCCTAATACCATGCGTTCTATTGCAGTGCGACTTGGGTCACAACTTAATGACCAAGGAAAAATGTGGGTCCTGAGGTCACACAGGTTGAGAAACACTGCTCTAAACACTTACCTGGGTCTGAACGCTTAAGACCTCTGACCTCAAACGCGGGATCTGACTGTTGAGCTGGCTAATCTGGCTGCGACTGTTCTCCAATTCAGTTTCATAGCGTCCAGCTTGGAGGACTCCTTGCTGTAACTGATTGAGAGGAGCAAAATGGTGATGTTTCAGTTATCCAATACAAAAGGACCAGTGTAAAAAATGATATCATACATAAGAACTACGACTAGCTTCAATGAGGTAGACAATAGGGGTTTGTGGTCAAGTTGCATAGAAGACTTAGGGCACAGTATTTCCATGGAAAAATGAAAACAAAAGGCATGGAGTTTGTTTACAAAGCAGTGAATGTGACATTCACTGCATGTTTTGGTGCATTTGCTTTAAATTAGTGTGAATGATTAACTTCTAGTGAATGTTTCGTTAATGCCACATTCACTGCTTTATAAATAGACCTATAGAATTTTAATAAAGATAATATATAAACAAATATTATGTTTGTGAAGGTATTCATTTATCTATATCATGGAAAGGATAAGGAAGTAACTTAGATGAGTGGTGAAACATCTTCAACATAACTAATCAAGTCCAGTTGAATGTGATTACCTACTAGCTAATGGTTTTTAGATTGTATTGCTTATTCAGAAAAGGAAACTGCCATTGACATGACAATACTTTGAGAAAATAATGTTGAACCATCATAGCGAGCTTGCTCTGCAGTCCTTTCCACTATGTCTGCTGTCTTACGGGCCACCTCTCTCAAATTGCCCACTCACCATACCCAGTGCTTCCTGCTCGCCATTTTTTTTTAAATATATGCCTCATAAGTGACATCACATTTACTACATTTGCTAAAGTTTCCATTGCAAAAATAGACATACTGTATCACCACTCAAGCCTTTCATGCTTGGATGAACACACATGTTTGTGAATCTAGAGAGGCGGGTGAAGAAGGAGAGTGGGGCTGCCAGCTCTACTTATTACAGGGTAGAACAATAACAATCATGTCTTGTTTTCTAACTGACTGTCCAGTTTGCACACTGCGACCACTGATGGGATCTTGTTGTCCAGTGGGATTTATCATTTAATGTCTAGTACCCTAAAACAGCCTAAGGCCTCATTCACACCATAGCATGTGCATTAGCGTGTATATAATGTGCATGTGCTGGCGTGTGTTTTTACACTGCATTTCATTTTGAACACACGTTCCAGTACATTCTGTACAACCTTATTTTTACTTTGCTATTGCTTTAACCATGCCATGCAATGGGTTGCAAGTTTCAAGTGGGTTGCAAATTGTCCTTTTTTTTAGCGCACACCAACGCAGCCCATGACCTGAAGCCATAGGACATAAGGCTATTTGCCTTGGGACTGTGTTGGAGTGCAATCCAATACAGTCCAATGCTGATGGCATGAACAAGTCCTAATTTGTCAACTATTTGTATTGATTGATGGCTTATGACTTACCTGTTCGACTAATGTCTATTTCCTAAAGGCACTCTAACATGTATTATTAAACTATCAACTCTATGGGGTCTATTCACCAAGCTGCCGTAGCAGCCGAGTGACTAACCGACCCGAAGCGAAGTGAGCCGAAAGCTGTTTGGCTATTCACTTCAGGCTGGTATGGCTGATACCAGCCGTATATCGGCTGAAATCAGCCGTACATCGGGTGGCTTCGGCTGGCTTCGGGTCGGACGAACATGGCAGGCTACTCGCTGCTCTTCGGCCTATTCTCATAGATGCCGAACAGCAGTGAGTGAATAACCGGCATTTGGCTCGGCTGTTCTGCTCGGTACCTGCTCGGGCAACCAAACTAATTAGGGGTATGGAGGACCAGAGCTACGAGACGAGGCTACTAAATTTAAACATGTTCACATTAGAGGTGAGGAGATTAAGGGGGGATATGATTTCCATGTACAAAATGTTTAATGGTGGTAGCAACATTAGCGATAAACTGTTTAAAATTAACTCCGTTACAAAAACTAGAGGCCATCACCTAAAATTGGTGGAAAAAAAATTCCAGCACAAGGGGTGAAGGGGGTTCTTCACAGTAAGATCAGTTAGGGTCTGGAACTCACTGCCACAGGCGGTGATTTCAGCAAATAATGTGGAATTGTTCAAGAAACTTTTGGACGATTTCTTAAGGGACCGTAATATACAGGGGTACGGGTACTCCTAGAATGAGATCCTAATAGGTTGGACTTGATGGACTAATGTCTTTATTCAACCTCAAATACTATGTAACTATGTAACCTCTGTGGTACCGAGCAGAATAGAAAAACAGTTAAAAAAGTAGTAAACAATAAAATAGAAACGATTGCAGTGACAGTTAGCTCCGCCCAACTGTTTTCTATTGGCTGGGCAGAATTTAAAACAAACAAAAAATCACCATAGGAATGCAGAGCTAGATTTCTATTGGCTATTTCAATTTGCAATAGCCAATAGCAAACCAGCTGTTGCACCCGCCCTCTGCTGCTGTCAATCACTAGAGGGGACCTAATGGAGAACTTCAGGTCCCCTCTGCTGATTGACAGCAGCAGTGGGCGTTTGCAATAGCTAATTTGCTATTGGCTATTGCAAATTGAAATAGCCAATAGGAATCTAGCTATGCATTCCTGGTGATTTTTTTATTTATTATTCTGACGGCAGACAACGGCTCCGATGTCAGAAGAAAAAAAAAGAAACAGAGCAGGGAAAGGTTTACTCTGCTCGATCCAGCAGAGTAAAACTTTCCCAGAGAGAGTGTTTCTCTCGTGGGCAGCCGGGAGCCACTATCTAATAACGGGGACTCCCGGAGCGCCTGGGAGAGTTGAGCTGCTGTTACCTGGCAACCAGGGACGATGATCTGTCTGTGCAAGTGGCCGGAGCCAGCCGTGAGATGACGGCTGGCTCCGCCGAGCAGTCAGTAGCAGGCTGTCGGCTGGCCAGCTTCGGCTTTCACCTCGGCTTTCACTTCGGCTCGATTGAGCCGCTCGGCCGACTTCGGGAGCTGTACGGGCTATAGTGAATAGCCCTTACAGCAGCCCTTCGGTTCTACTGAACTGAAGGGGACCTGGGGCCGAAGCTTGCCGAAGGATCAGCCGAAGCTACGGCTAGATCCTTCGGCAGCTTAGTGAATAGACCCCTATGATTATTTTTTTCAATCATGATCTGCAACGGTAAAGCTTCTCATGTATCACAAAAGTGGTAATGTCAACTCTCTTCTGATTTTAATACTTTTGCATCTTGAAGACAGGAATGGAAAAAAATAAACCTGCAGAGCATTTCTTTACTGTATCCAAAACTAAAAGAAAAGAATTGGCTATACATACTATTTAAATAACTATTTAATTTTGATGATAAATTACAATGAAATAAAATAACTAATTCAGTTGATTGAATTGATGCCTTTCTACTAACAGTCAGTGGGGTAGATTTACTAGTGCTTATAATAGTGATTATAGTGAAGCTACTTTAAATAGCTAATCATGTGCATGGAAAATTTAAAAAACAATATTTTTTTCCTTGCACGTTTTAACAATTGAAATAAACTCAGGTTCACTTTATTCCCTAAGCTAACAAGTCACTTAGAAAAATGAAAGTTCTCTACTCCTTTAGTAATCAACCCCAATGTCTTATCTAACTAGATAAAGTAACACAACACAACTATTACATTGCTCTTGTTTGTATCACACCTTTATGTTTACTGACTTGGCAAAATCTATAACAAGCTTTACTCATCTGCTCTTCAACTCTGATATTTGCTTTTCTGATTCACAGATACAAAAGTTATTCTCAGCAGCTTATTCAAGGAGTCATTTTAAAATAAAGATATGCGCTATCTTTTGCAACTTAATAAGCCTGCCAAATGGCTGGCGCTGCTAAGAATGTGTGAAATAGTTAAAGTGATCTTGTCACAGGGTCACTTATATAGGAAGCTTAGGCTGTAAATGAAGATGTATATTTATCTTTCTAAAGACCCGTGTCTTTGGACATTACCACTTTGTTGCTCCACGGCAACTGCTGGAAAGGTAAGTACACATTGTCAAGAAGCCAGAACTAGTCTGTGCGGCCGAGGTTCTGTGCAGGCGCCTGTGCATGCACATGTGTGCGAGCATAGTCTTGCTCACAGAATTGTGCACAGCCATTTGCCTCTATGCAGGCCTGTGCGTGTTTTTGCACATGCTTAAGGTTTGTATGCGTTTGTGAGCGTGCTCCCTGGCATGCGAGCGGAAATTACGAGCTCATTATGAGCTGTGGCACCAAATTGGCTATTTAAGGCTGTGGCATCCAAGCCTCCAGTGCTGAGTGATTGACAGCCTTCCTGTATTCCTGAGATCCTGCATGTGATTGTTCATCCGTTATCGACCCGGCTTGTTTGACTCTTCTCACTGCTCTGTGCTCCTGTGCCTATTCCTGACTTCTGCCTTCCACTTGGTACTTCTTTGTCTCCATGTTACCAACTCCAGCTTGTTCTCGACTTTGCTCCTGTTTGTCGCCTGGCACTGCTCTGCCTGCCTGTTGATGACCCGGCTACTGAAATCCTGCACCTTCAGGTCTCTGTTCCTGTGCCAGATTTCTACCCGGTAATACGAAATCACCTGCACTCCATACAGCGTACAGATCTTGGATGAATGGATGAAAGGTTGGTGCTTGAAGTGACAACACGGATGGCGCCATGTCAGATGCAGTCCATAATAGAAGTCACTAGCACGCGGCTGTTTGACGCATGTGATGATTTAATAAAAAGTGCTTTTTCTTCTTGCACACATCATCGAGTGCTGGTGACTTCTATTATAGATTTCTACCCGGGACTCGCACAAATCCCAGAGACTGACCTTCCCTGCCATGGTGATATTATCTCTGTGTACCCGCGCACCTGTTCTGCCATCCGGGGGCTCTAGGACTGGAGCTGCAAGGGAGGCCAGACTCTACCAAGGTACATGACACACATGGTCTTTTTTACAGCTCATGCTTCTTCTAAAGTGACCCTATGATGATATGCTCACTTTAACATCCTCCGCAAAATTACCCAGAAAGGGAATATTACTTCCAATTCTAATAAACAATATGACAAATTTTACATATTCTACCAACACCATTACAAGACCAAAGCATTCACTAAGCATGGACAACTTGGGGATCATAGCCATTCTAAAAAAATGATAGTTGGCAGGAAGAAATCCAGTCCCTGGGTGATCTCCTTATTATAGCTATTACTGGAATGTTATGCTCCTATTCCTTGATAAAATCTTTTGAAAATAAGATATGCAGTTCTATTTTCAGGACTTTAAAACAATAACGTATACTCAGGAGGTGGAGGGAATCCAACAGAGGAAGCGCTGGGTGTGCGAAACGCGCAGAGACTACTATCCACTCTATATCATCTTCATATAAGGCTGTTTTCACACACATAATTTGGAGAATATTTTATTGTTATTTTGTTACATCATATACTGTATCATGTTTTTCTATTATGCTCAGATAGAGCGATCAACAATCATGTTTTTTTTTTCTTTTCAAAGAATTTTATTGAGTTTTTAACATTGATACAAAAGTATGTAGCATATACAAAAGAGTGTCAATAATAATACAGAGCTATTCATCAATTTTCTATGTTCCATATTTATATGAATTATTGTACCATGTTATTTGTGTGATTTCTATGCTTTAATCATGACAGCATTGAGTGGGTTGGGGAGGTATCTTGCTATTAGGATATGCGTATCCTTCTTTTAATCTTTTTAGTGTTTTTGTAATTAATAAACAAAACTTTTTATACAAAGTAAGTTGCAATTTATTGGGTCTGTCATTTGGTGCCTTTAAAACCCCATCTTTCTATACTCTCTCTTTTTTGTTGACTGAAATTAAAGTGGTGTGGCACCAGTTACATCAGGATTTGTTCACAATATTTTGTTTCTAGTTTAGTGAATAAGGTGAAGCTTTGCTGACTTTCACCATCCAATCATGATCAAGCAAAAGTACTGTTTTTTTTTCTATTGTCCTTGCTTGTGATTGGGTATTCTAGGCAAAGTGAAATTTCACCACATTTATATATATTGTAGCAGGTCATCATGTAGAGAGCAAGGAGAGGTCCTGTCCGGGGTTTATGTGTCGCCCAGATTCCTCTCTTACACCTTCCGGAACCTATAATAGGCCCCAGGTTTTATGCTTTGCCTCAGTGGCAATTTAGTGCAGGTGAGGCCAACAGACAGTGCTCTGGAGCCTGGGGAGCAGACAGTCGCTATCTGCTGGAGCACAAGGTTGGTCAGTGTGTTTTGCTGAAGCCTGGCAAACAATAGGTTTGTACAGGTTGGTAGTCAGGACTATCGTATGTTTAGTTAGTGCCGGGACACAGCTAGGATTTTGTTTTTGAAGTATTTACTTTCTTTGAGCACTGTATATAGCCTGTGTGATTTGAATTTTGTTCTAATAATAATTTGATACTAATGCAGTATTATATACTGTATATCTACCTTTTTCTTGGAGAGAGCCTGTGCTTCTTCTCGACTTTTTGCTGCAATGCTTTCATATCGTTCCTTTATCTCTTTCACTATATTTTGAAAATTCAAAGGACAACCGCTGTCCATGTTTAGCAGCACTGATATGTCTCCAGATTCCTCCATCACTTCTTTTAGCTCCTATGGAAAAAAGGGGCACAATTAAAATAATTTTGCCTTTTTTGGACAGTATAATTTTTTTTAACCCTGTGTGTGCCATGTAGTGGATGTGTTACCCAAAATAGCTATTAAGGCGGTACCTTTAAAGCAGAACTATAAGCACCAGCATTAGCATCAGTATTCCTTTAATTCCAATGTATCCCTTACCTTTATGGGGGGAGTGTTTTGTTTGCTATTATTACTCAAAATAAATCCTTATTTTGTTGCTGACCACCAATTTGATAAGGGTGGATGGACAAAAAGCTTTAAATTCACTATGATGATGATTGGTATTATGGATGGTCAAACCTCTACTGTATTATGAGGTGCAGGAATTTAATGGGACACATTACCCTTTCTGGAAAAGCCATAAAAGATCCATATCATGTTTGATGTCTAAATTGTGAGTTCACTCTGTGCGGTAATATGCTGGTTGTCAGATTGTATAACATAGTGCTCTGGATATATAGATATAATTAGAAAAATTGTTTTTGAGGGAGTGTCAGGCAGTGTTATTGTTTATTGTTTATTAGAAAACACCTCAATACCCCTTCAAAAACTCTCAACACACCCTTCAGACCCTCTGATTATGTCATATATCTGGCTTTGTCATTTCAGTAAATGCACTCTTTTAAGGGCCAGAAAATCTGCTGCTCTTGGTAGCTGGGGGTTCTGGTTTTCCACAGAACCATGTCAGAATGAAAAGAGTCAACTCTAAGGGCCAGTGATCCCTGTGGCCTGTCGCAAGTGTTTGGGACTGCCCATGAATCTCCCTTCATAGGGTCGCCTCTTACACTACAGAGAGTACTTGATTGAAGTTCAGCATCCTAATATGTTGCCCCAAAGCATTCCACATTCACTGGGTTATGTGGAATGCTATAGAGGAGGCTGTCACATCTACACCTGCAGTGGCCGCAACTGAAAGGCTACTCTGGTGTTGAAACCTGAACCTGCAGAGGCTTCCTGCAGCTGCATTTACACCATCTTTTAGAGTCAAAGCTGGGACTCTACTCCAGTAGAAACAACACCAGGAAAGGGTGAGAGATCTGGGGAAAAGGAAGAGGGTAGTGGCATGGGCTGAATTTGTAGCCAGGTTGTTAGTCTGAAGCAAGGGAAGGTACTGTTGGGTGCTGATACTTACTCAAAAGCATAGGATAAAGAAGCGCAGATGGCTGATTCTTTACAGCAACTTTGGGCTGATAGATTGGGTCATCTGGATGAGGGTGGAAATTATTTTGGGGAGGAGGAATTCAAAGGGGTTTTCAAGCTTTACGTTAGGTTCAGCGAAAGGCATTTGAATCAAAGGCTGATTCACTTTTTTGTTTGTAAAAAAGTGGAGTCTGGGTTAATCCATGTTCATTTAAATTTGCTTGCTCATCTATATCTGTTAGAGGTGCACCGAAATGAAAATTTCCAAACCGAAACAAACCGAAAATTAAAAAAAATGTCAGGCCGAAACCGAAAATGTTTTTTTTTTTCTTACCTTTTCAAAAAAATGTAAATATTTCATTTGTATTTATTTTTTATAAACATTTTAATTGTTTTATATTTTATTTTTATTTATTTACTTTTATTAAATATTTTTTATTTTTTTACTTTACTGTTAGGGACTCTGGGGAAATATTGGGGGTTTAAACAGACCCCTGATATTTCCCTTTAAAAATAGAAAAAGGGATGGAGGACACAGTCCTCAATCTCTTTTTCTGCAGCCCCTGTTCTAAATGAACAGGAATTCTCTATACTGAGTGTTCCTGTTCATTCATAACTTGTGGACATAGTGTGATGTAGATCACTTCCCATTCATTCATAATTGGGGGCACAGCAAACATACTATGTCCTCAATTATTTACTCACTGATCGCTGAGTGCTTATACCTGCACTCCATCCTGACTCGCTGTCACAGAAGGCCGAGCAGGCGGTGCAGGCGGTACTCCCCTGCACCGCCGGCCCTGTCCCCTGTGACAGCATTGACAGCTGTCTCGGCCCGCACACCGCTCTCGTAATCTTCACAGGGGGGTGAAAGGTGCGGGAGGAGAGACGCCGGTCGCTCACATCGCTCTCCTCCCCCTCACCACTCGACCTCATGTGACAGTTTCTCTCCTCCCTGCTGCACGCTGCGCCCAGCAGGGAGGAGAGAAAGCAGGGATGCACCGCTATTTCGGCCAAAAGATGGCACTTTCGGCATTTTGCCAAAAGTTAAATTTTCAGCCGATATGTTTCGGCGGCCAGAATATCGGTGCATCCCTAATATCTGTAATTTATAAAGGGCAGTGGTAGGCATCTAGACAGGCAGGAGAGAAATAGGGATAGTCAAGTGGGAGAAAAGCAAGAGAATCATGAACAGAGTTCCCACAGTAAGCAACACAGGAAATACTGCCAGTCATAAGCAGTATGGTAATGAAAAGAGCAATAAGGATCTACAGTGCATGAAATTATAAGAAGCAATGAAAGCTTAGTTCACTGGGGTAACAAATTAAAGGAGAACTATGGGGCAACGTTTTTTGTACATAGTTCTCATCAGGTTCACCGGAGGACATAGACTATGTTCTCTAATGACCCAAAACTCAGCATATAGCGGGCTGAGAGCACTGCAGCCGGACGGATCCCAAAAATACTGTAGATATTCGAAGCGCGATGACAGCGGCAAAAAAATCCGAAAAGAGACCAGGTTCCATTGTCCCGATTGTGACGTCGGTCTTTGTGCTGTCCCGTGTTTCAAAGTTTACCATACCCGAGATGTTTACTGAAGTAATATTGCACCCTTGCTTGGACAGATGTCAGTGTTTTTTGTTTGAATACATTATTTAATTACATTTATTATTATTATATTATTGTTTTGTGTAATTATTTCTAATTATTTGTATATTATAATTTATGATTTTGTTTTCAAACGTTATCATACCCGGGATGTCTATTGGACTCTTGTTTGGACAGATTTAGGTGAGTTATTCCTAAGATTTACTAAGAATCACAGGCCTACAATGTAAAACAACATATTTCCATGAAAAACAATGTACCGCTTTGGATTGGTAAAATACTGAATAATCATACCGCCAGGGAGGTTAATGGAGGTTTACAGACATACAGGGGTTGATTTACTAAAGGCAATTAGGCTGTTCACTTTGCAAGGGAATTTGAACTTTGTAAGGGGATTTTCCCATAGTTTGATGAATGTGGTGAACATTCACTATGCAAAGAATAGCCAATTACAATCAAGGAAAATAAAAAAAAAAACAATTTTTGCTTGGATATAATTTGATGATAACTGTCAGCAGAGCTTCATCACATTCACTAAGGTAAGGGAAAATTCCCTTGCAAAGTTAACAGTCTATGTGCCCTTGGTAAAAAAAAAACCGGTAGAGTTTAGGAAATGTCCTTTACTTACATGCTCATAGATAGTGGTAAGTAGCTCTATAAAGTCATGCAGATGTCGTTGCTTTACTTCCAGTTCAGTCTTGTCCATGCTACAAGCATCCACATCCTGTAAAGAAAAAAAACACATAACCAGTTGATAGAAATTGTCATTCCTTATGCTGAATTAACATTATTCCTGTTTTTTCATTTAGGGGCAAGTAGGTTCTGCAGGACACAGCAGTGCATGGCCACACCATCTATAGGCAGGGCATATCTGCCTTTTCTATCTCAGAGTAGTTGTGCTATACAGCCACAGCGTGCACATGAGATGGCAGACCAAACCTTTTTCTTCATCCTCCTCCAAGACACAGGGCAGACAGTTGTCCACAAGTGTTGCTAATGCGCCCTTTTCCTCCTACTTTTCTTCTGTTTATCCCACCTTAGCTTTGATAAACTGCCTATGAAGTGTTGGCAGAATTATTTGATCACACAATCACTGACTTGTGCAAGAGTATGACCTTGGTAATGTGCAAGCATTCCTTCTTTCAGATATTGAGGATGAGGAAGATAGCACCATGGCCACAATGGAAAAGGAGGATGGCAAACAAAACAGCAGCAAAGGAGGATTTTGCCCAGGAGCAGGGTCAGCTTGCAAAGGACTGGAGGGAGCTGCCATCCTACCCCGCAGGTAGAGGCCATTGCTATCCTTAAGGCCAGTCTACAGAGCTCTGCAGTGTGGGATTTTTTTAATGTAATAGCTGCTGGCAGCACCTTTTGTATTCTGCAACATATCAGTTAAAGTAAAAGTAACGCCATTTGGGCACCACATGGATGAGAAAACACATCACTCTGCACCACAGAGCTCAGTGGGATCAGCATCTCAATGTGTCAAGTTGGCAGAAAAAGGTCTGCAGTCCTCCCCATTCCACACTTTTCCAATTTACCATCTGCAACCTCTAATGACAGGGAGGGAAGTCTTAAAAAGGGTTTTATAGGAATAGGATAAGCCACTTCAAGCAGGGAAAGGGGTTATGGAGCTGCAGTGAGGAGGGCCAAGCAAATGCTTGAACCGTTTCAGAATTCTCTGGGGTCTATTTTATACTCTCACTGGTGTCTATTCCATAGCTGCTGGAGTGGAAGAAAAAATCCACAAATCACCCCCATGCCCAGCATCTTATTGCCAACCCGATAAAAGCTGCTCCCATTCCAGCTTGTGGAATCAGCCCCTTTATGGACACTTATGGCCTGTGCTACACCCCAGTGGCAAGTACCCAGCCACAATTTTTTTCTCCAGAAGGCCATCCCTGCCCTTCACAAGTATGTGGGATGTAATGTGTATTTGTCGCTGGATTATGCCCATGGAAATGTGGTCCAGTAAGCATGGGCATATCCTTCATTGCACACTGAGTCAATGTTCTGGAGGCCGGGAAACATATAGGATGGGGCACACTGCTGAATATGATTATGGCATGAAGACAGGTTCTGGGGAGCTGGGGTTTTTTACCCTGCCAGTGGCTCATCATCTAGGACACCTGTCCCATTTCGGTGCCTTTTTTCGAGGTGACTAAAATAGCATGCAATGAGACAGGGATTAGTGGCGCAATACCTTTTGCGTTTATTTTAGAGCACACACGGTGTGGCCTACTAGATGGAATCACTAACAAAATATGAACTACAGCTTCTTTGACATTTAGTGCCAAATTTATGGCCTGGACGGTCACACATTTACATCTGCCCACCTGCCATACCTTTTATTTTTACAAATTTAATTATATACACTTTAATTTATTTTTCTTTATAGAGGATGTCCCTTTCCAAGGCAGAACACAATTTAAAAGTTAAACAGTTAAAAATTGTATTTTGTTTGAGGAAGGTTGCAAGGGAATGTGACCCCTGTAGTTCGTTCAATGTGATCAGTTGTTGGACATAGCTGGCATAACATGCTGGGATAAGCAAAGAGACCTGGTAGATAACTGTTGCAGAAAGGTTCTGATCACTCTAGAAAACATTAATTCCAACACCTCCCATAGTTAGTGGAAAATGACAGGCCTGGAAGGCCCCACAGATCAACAAACAAGCAGGAACGGCAATGCAAACTGGGTAAAAATACTGGCAGGTGGGAAGGGGGAATTTCTGGGGCCACCACATTTGGTGGGAGGCTCATTTCCACTTTGGTCCTTGTGTGCCTTTTCCTGTGAGTTTTTCTCAAGGGACACGAGGAGAAGGGTAGGCAGCAGCAAATTGAGCATACATTCCTACAGCCAAAGGCGGCCCACCCTTTCCCAGAGTGAAGCCTTAAACTCAAAGAAGCACTCACCACCACTCACCCCACCATCTCCTTAACAACCTTCCGATGCCATGTTTTTGCTGGAGTGGAAGAACAAAAAAGTCCCCCAAACCCCCCTCCCCTACAACACACATCTGTATACCAGTTTGGCACCTTAACTGCTTCCATACCAGCTGGCTGTTCCTGCCCTGGTCAAGCAAACACAGCAATCTTCAAAACATGCTGGTAATCTGGCTTGTTGGGAGAACCTGGATTCATTTTCATCTTCTCTGTCTTTAATCTGCATTGTGGAAATTCTTTTTTCTCTTTCACAACTCTCCTGAAAACATCACACAGTAATTAACTGTAACTTTTTAAATAAGAAATCTAGTTAACCATAATGCAGTTTTATTGGCAAACCATGGGAATACCGGATTATTATGGCAACTGTATCGAGCAAAGCCTCTAGTTCTTGGCATTTAAAGCTCTATTAAACTTTCAATTAAAAGTCGCCTAAACACAGTGTGCATAAAACAAAAGGTTTGCAAAGACTGCTGCAGAGAGATCACTGCTTTTACACAGATGCCAACAGTCCTCTGTGCAGTGTGCTAGTGAGGGACAGGCTGCTTTATTCTGACTGTGGCTGCATTTCAGCTAGAACAAATAGTAAAGCTGGCCATACACATGACAACTTTCAGGCAAGTTCAACCACTTTCGATCCACCAGGAAATGAACATACCATCCAAAGTACTGTAGTTGCCTAAGATATAAGCAATGTGCCACCCAGAAATTTGATCAATCAATCTGGGCTATAAATTGACAGTTTTAGTACAGGCTATTGAAAAATAATGATGGAAACCAGAAAAGAACTATGGCAAATTAGATAAAAGTGATCATATTTATTTGCCAGGTTCATTCAAGGCAATTTAAATTCCATCGCTGTGTCGCCGATCAAAACCCCACATTTACACATTCAATAGCCTGTCATTTTGACACCAGCTTGATTGAAAATGGTTACCGTTCCCAGATAATTCCCTGTATATGTGGCCAGCTTTCCTTTGCAAACCTTTTGTGTGTTTTAATCTGAATGAATTTAAGTGATTTTAAATGAAAGTTCAATTGGGCTTTGGGCTTCCTCACTCTCAATCCTCTAAAGTGCTTTGTCATGCAGACATCCTTAGGTAGCTGCACCCAGTTTTGACAACATATTCTGAGTCACAGGACCCCTCACATAAAACCTGATTGATTTTTTAAATGGATGTGCAGCCGCTATCTACAACAGAGATATGTGAGAGGGGCAAGCAAACCCTCAACTCTCTCAGGGAACATTTAGTGAACTTCGGGTTCAGAGATTCTTGGATGTTGAAGATGTCAAAACAAACATGAACACATTTGGGGCTGCAGCTGTGACTTTGGTTTGTTGTAAGAAGACATCCCCTCTACAATTGCTGCTTTTCATTCTGGTGTGGACAACTAACAGCAGCTAGTGAGGGATCCCTGACTGCATTGAATAGATTTGCAGATACCCTGTTTCCCCGAAAATAAGACCTACCCCAATAATAAGACCTAATACTATTTTTGGGAATTGCTAAAATATAAGACCTACCCCGAAAATAAGACCTAGTTGTGACCATTCCCAGGGCCGGTGGTGGCATATGGGGGAACTTGAAGAGCCGCTGGAGAGGCAGGAGAGAATCAGCGGTGCCAACAAAGCCAGCGCTAGAGGACAGCAGAGGGAGCATAGCCACGTAAGCCGATGCTTCCTCTACGCCGGCTCCTGTCACAGTCGGAGTGATACCAAATGCACTCCGCCTGTGAGGAATCGATAGTGAAAGTGTGCTTCCCTCATTCTGGCCAGCGATTGGTTAGCAAATTGCTCTTGGAAAGGTACGGCACCCCTGATCACCATATTTTTGTACATGAATACATGTAGATGTATACAAAATAAGACCTACCCCGAAAATGAGCCCAAAAAAATGTAAGACAGTGTCTTATTTTCGGGGAAACACAGCATTTCTGGTCAGGTGCTTTGTTATATTTTAGTCCAAGTTGTCAATAAAAAATTAGATAAACACAAGGGGGGAAATTCATGCAAACTGGAGCAGATAGAATCTGGAGCAGTTGCCCATAGCAACCAATTAGCTTCTCTTTTAGGATTGCTTTCAAAGCTTTCAAAATGAAACAGAGAAGCTAATTGGTTGCCATGGGCAACTGCTCCAGATTCTGTGTGCTCCAGTTTTTATGAATCCCCCCCATTATAGTGTTATGGCACTTGTCATTTGACACCAATATTCTGTTTTACAAGAATATTGTGCACAATTACATTTAAAGCTTATCTCTGCGCACAAAAACTTTCATTTGAATATATCTCTTAATAGCCACAAAATGTATACTGTATAGCCACTCTGTGTGTAACAAATGCCTTTGCAAACCTAATTATTATAATTTACGGGTCTGTTCACTAAGCTGCCGTAGGCAGCCGAGTGAATGACCGACCTGAAGTGAAGTGAGCCGAACACTGTTTGGCTATTCACTTCAGGCTGGTACGGCTGATTTCAGCCGTACATCGTCTTGCTTCACATGGCTTCGGGTCGGCCGAACATGCTCAGTTCCTACTGCCACTATTAAGGTGTAGATGGCACCAGTTTGCCCTTGTAGCGGCGATCACAGACACTTAGCGGTCTATTCACTAAGCTGCTGTAGGCAGCCGAGTGAACAACCGACCCGAAGTGAAGTGAGCCGAACACTGTTTGGCTATTCATTCAGGCTTGTACGGCTGATTTCAGCCGTAGATCGGCTTGCTTCGCATGGCTTCAGGTCGGCCTAACATGCTCGGCATGTTCGGCCGACCCGAAGTGCAG